TCCTCCTCCTCCCTCCCCTCCTCCTCCTCCTCCTCCTCCTCCTCTCCTCCTCCTCCTCCTCCTCCTCCTCCTCCTCCTCCTCCTCCTCCTCCCTCCTCCTCTCCCCCTCCTCCTCCTCCTCCTCCTCCTCCTCCTCCTCCTCCTCCTCCTGCTGCTCCTCCTCCTCCTCCTCCTCCTCCTCCTCCTCCTCCTCCTCCTCCTCCTCCTCCTCCTCCTCCTCCTCCTCCCTCCTCCTCCTCCTCCTCCTCCTCCTCCTCCTCGCCTCCTCTCTCTCTCTCTCTTTCTCTTTCTCTCTGGGCCTCCAGGATGGGGTCCGACTGGGCGGGGTCGGAGGGCCGCGGCGCATCGCCGATGCATCGGCAATGCAGCTCGACGTGGAGCTCGTTTTTTTCTCCACGCCAGTGGCGCCGATACATCGGCGACGTCGCCGACGCATCCTCCGACCCCATCTCCTCGAACCCCAGCTAGGAGGTCTCTACCGCTCTCCCAGAGCCTACATAGATCCGATCGGTCCGGTTCGATCTCGGTTTCAGCCGTTCCGATTCCATTCGATGTCGATTTCCCAGCGATCCGATTTGGCCCGACGCGTACGTGGCGTTGCCATGCATCCTGGCGCAGCCGATCCGATCCGATTTCTATTCCGTGCCTGTGCAGCCCGATCCGACGCACAGTTCGACCCGATCCGACCGCCCGACTTCGATGCTGGCTACAGTCGATCCGCATGGTAAGGATGGGCAACCTTCTCAATGGTACCCTTGCATCCTTAGCTCGTCGGTCCATTCTTGGCCACTTTCGTTGGCTGCACCCCGCTCAGCAAGCTTCGAGATAGCCTTCCAAGGCCCTTGCATCCTTATCGTTCGTCCTGATGATATAGGTTGACTGAAGTCCTGCCTTCCCCGCTGCTGCGGCAGTCCCCAGGGCCCCCGCGGCGAGTTTTGAAAAGGTCGCAGCGGGAGGATCGTTCGGCCGCAGCGGAAAGGGCCGATCCGACGCACGCTTCGCTCCGAACCGACCTCCCGACCTCGAGGCTGGCTGTAATCCAGGAGGGAAAAAACACAGACACAGGTAATCGTCGATTCCCCCGAAAGTATGGGAAAATAGGGGAAGTGGGGGGGAAGACAAAAACCCCAAACATATGGGAACATACGGGGCATCTTTTTATTTGTGTGTATTTATTTGTGTGTCCTGTATTCTATTTGTGTGAATTGATTTGCGTGTATTTATTTGTGTGTACTTATCAGACGCACGCTCCGCTCCGATCCGGCCTCCCGCCTCCGAGGCCGGCTATCATCCTGCCCGCCCCGCTGCCGCGGCAGTCCCCGGGGCCCCCCCCGCGGCGAGCTCTGCACGGGGCGCAGCGGGAGGCGCCGCCGGCCCCGTCGGCGGCGGCCCCCCCCCGGGCCGTCAGCTTTCAAGCAGTGGCGAAGCGTCCTGGCGTGCCTATAGGCCTGCTCCTCCTCCTCCTCCTCCTCCTCCTCCTCCTCCTCCCCTCCTCCTCCTCCTCCTCCTCCTCCTCCTCCTCCTCCTCCTCCTCCTCCTCCTCCTCCTCCTCCTCCTCCTCCCCCTCCTTCTGCCGAGGAGGAAGACAGTGTTCTAAGAACCTCTTGTGGTTTCCACGAAGTGCTCTTGGAGCATTTCTGGCTGGGACTGTCTTGTGTCATCACAATGGGCTTGTGTCTTGTGTTATCACATCGGGAACCTCTTGTGGCTTCCGCGAAATGCTCTCAGAACATGTCTGGCTGGGACGGGCGTATGCTCGAGGACTCAGAGCATTGTTTCTGTTCTGCATTGTTCTACGACCTCCCGGTTGTATGCCACGGGGCCGTGGTCACCGATGATCGCCGCCCGAAAAAAAAACAAAGAAGAGCATGTCTGGGTTCTACGAGCATGTCGTGGTAGGCCTCTGGACATGCCGGGGGACGGTCGGCCCCTGCTCAGAGCTCGCGAGGGCGAGGCCCGAGCACCCTTGGTCCGAGGCCGCTCGGCTCGAGCCTGCGCTCCAGCGGCGGAGGGGCGCTGCACCGAGGTGAGCTGCCGAGGGGGAGAAGGCACCCCTCCCCCACTGGAGGGCCTCCAGGGAGGCCCTCGTCGCCACCGTTGGGTTCGCTCCCCTCCTCCTCCACCTCATCCTCCTCCTTATCCTCTTCCTCCTCCTCCTCCTCCTCCCCCTCCTCCTCCTCCTCCTCCTCCTCCTCCGCCTCCTCCTCCTCCTCTCCTCCTCCTGGCCCTCGTTTTCCTTTTTTGGGGCCTCTACAGCCGGACTCGATTGGACAGGACACGCGAGAGGATATAAGACCCTTCCGAGGGCCACAGTGCCACAGGAATGCAGGAAGCATGGGTTTCGCGAGGCACAGGGCACGAGGGTACCCTTGATTTGGCAGGGTCGACCCACTAATCTGGGCCGACTGTCCCCGGTCTTCCCGATTTGAGGGCCTCCTGGGAGGCCCTCGTCGCCACCGCTGGGTTCGCCTCGAGAGCTTGGTCGGAGCGCCCCCCGGGAGAGGTCCGGGAGGTAGAGTCGGCCCAGATTAGCAGGTCGACCCTGCCAAATCAAGGGTACACTGTGTCCTGTGTCTCGCGACCCGTGCCTCCTACATTCCTGTGGCCACGTGGCCCTCGGAAGGGTCTTGCGTCCTCTCGCGTGTCCTGTCCAATCGAGTCCGACTGTAGCGGCAGCGGTGGATTTCGGTTTCCCCAGGGCCGAGGCACCGGAGCAGGCGCGGCGGAGGCGTACGGGGGCGCGGGGGGAGGCGAGGCCGCGCTCAAGGCATGCGGTCTTGGTGCGCGGGTGTCCCGGAGGCGTACGCCGCGGAGGGAGCCCCGAGCACGGCCAGGGTGGAGAAGTCAGCGTGGCCAAAGGTCGGGCCCAAGTCTTGCCAAACTGCTACAGTCAAGACGCTGAAATAAGGAACAGCTTGGGTTCGGAAGGGGCTTGATGTTCCTTAGGTTCCTCCAGTGCTGCTCCTCTTGCCCTCCTGGGGCACGGAGGCGGTTGAAGGGCCAAGAAGGGGCTTCGTTCTTTATTTAGCGTTCCTTCTTTCAGCGGCCCGACTGTAGGTTGTGTGTTCCCCCAGCTATTAAAAAGCCTTGGGGGAACACCTGGGAAATGAGGGAGAGAGGAGGACGAAAGGGAGAAGAAGGAGGAGGCGGAGGAGAAAAGAAGGAGGGCCTCTTGGGCCTCCAGAGGCCCTCTTGGGGCCTCCCGGGGGCTTCCTGGGTGCGTCTTGGGGGCCTCTGAGGGACATCGTGGGGCCTCATGAGGCCCTTGGAGGCCTCTTAGAGCCTCTTGACTCTTGCGGGCCTCTGGGAGTCTCTGCAGGGCTCCTTGGCGGCCTTCGGAGGCCGTCTTGGAGGCTTCTTTAAGCGCTGTGGGGCCGCCCTGGAGGTCTGCGAGGCCGTCTTGCGAACGTCTTAGGGGCCTCTTGGGGCGACTTGAGACTTTCTCGGAGGCCTCTGTGGCCATCTGAGGCCGTCGGAACCCCGACAGGGAGAGAATTCGAAAACTATTGGAACACGTTTTATGATGTTGTGCCTCCAGGAGGTCCTCTTGAAGCCCTCTCTGGGCGTCGTGAAAGCCTCTTGAGCCGTCTGGGGGTCGTCTTAAGCCGTCTTGGAGTCATCTTGGGCCATCTTGGGACCATCGTGGGCCCTCCTGGAGCCGTCTGGGGCCATGCTGCAGACCCTCTTGGAGCCATCTTAGGCGGGGAAGCCCACGGGGGGGGGGTCGCACAGGTGGCCGGCGGGATCAGCGAGACCCCACTTCAAGGCCCCCGGAGACCAGGACACAGACTAACCAGGACATTGGCAAGTCGGGGAAACGACACCCTTTCCTGCAAAGTCAGATTTGGTCGTCCAGTGCAGTTTTTGTTGCTGCACTGCAGGATTCGGGTCTTTGTCCTGTTCTAGGGTGTGGTTTGCATGCTTTGAGGGCCTGTGTCCGGGTTTATTCCAGAAGTGTTGCAGTGCAGTTTCTTCTCGTGCCGCACTCTGGAACAAATTGTTTCGAGGAATGTTGTATGCCCTGGTCTAGTGTGTCCGGCTTTACGGGGCCCTGGCCACTTGGAACTTTCTGGAAGGGCTCAAGCAGTTAAACTGCGGTACGCCAACAACCTCTCTTGCAGGCAACAGGGGGGGGGGGGGCGGACCTGTTGGCCCTCGACCCATTTCCCCACCGTGCTCGGGTTGTGGGCCAGGGTCCTCTTGGGATGCCTCTTGGGGACATCCATCTTGGAGACCTTCTGAAAGACTCTTGGAAGTTTGGGATGCCCCCTGGGAGCCTACATTCGTGAAAACACATGCCAAGTTCACGCGTGCCGAACGCAGGTTGGATACCACCTCCGCGCACGCACGTTGCGCAACTTGTGAAAAATCCATTGGTCGCATGTTGGATGCCCCCCGTGATGCTTACCAGCGTGGAAAAACACGTGCTAGATGCCAGCGTGCCGAATGTATGTCAGATACCCCACATCCGCAAACATTCTTCTGCAGGTAAGAAATTATCCTGCCGCAGGTGTGGCACCCCTCACGGCCCACACACCTGGAAGCACGTGATGCACGCGTGCCGAACGAGCGTTGGATACCCCATGTAAAAATTCCTTTTGAGCGCTACACATGAAATCAGGAGGGGAAAAAACACAGATATGAATCGTCGATTCCCCAGAAAATATGGGAAAATATGGAAATTGGGCGGGAAGACAAAAACCCAGAAGATATGGGAAACTATGGGGAATCTGTTTATGTGTGTGTATTTATGTGTGTGTCCCAGGGCCCCTTCAAGCACTTGCCTAAACACGCGGAACACACATACCAAATGCACGCGTGCCCCGCGCAGTTTGAATGCCCCTCCTCCCCGCACGTATTTTAAACGTGTGCCGATCGCACGGTTGAGACCTCTTGCGCGCACGGAGACACGTGCCGAATTCAGTTGTGCCAATCGCATGTTTGAAGCTTCCCTCCGCACAAGTAGTTCTTCGTTTGAGAAATCTGCGATCGCATGTTGGGTCCCCCTCGTGAGGGGCCACACGTGAAAACACAAGCCACATGCACGCGTACCAGACAAATGTGATATTTCTTCCGCGCACGTATTACACAAGTAGAAGGTGCGCCAGCCGCGGACTGCGCAGGCTTCACATCCGCGCTCAACAAGTACCCTTCTGGTAGTCTCAAGCTTCACGCCAGGCGAACCGATTGCGGTGGACAGTACGCAGACATGCTTCTTCAAAGTTGAGATTGGCTTGTTGTATGTGCCGTTGGACGGACGCCGAAACGCGCGTTCTGGGTGGGCTATGCGCCGACGTGTGCTTCCAACTTGTTGGCACCGTGGCGCGCGCGCGCTCTCCCAAGCGTTTCATGGCAGGCGGTGCTCCTCAACGGGACCGTGGCGCCTGACTCCTATCTGCTGCCGCTGCGACGGCAGCGGGCAGACATGAGCATATCCAGTCTGATCGGAGGCAGAGGCGATCCCATGGTGCTCGGGGGCCCCCCAAGAGGGCGGTGGCCACACCGTGTGGTGAGTCAGGGGGGATCCACGGCGACGCACGGTTTGGGACCTTGGGTCGCTCTCCGAGGGCGTCTCGGGCGACGGGGGCCTCGGAGGCCCCAGAGCGGTGCGGCGACGGGCCGTGCGGTGGGGCCTGCCTGGAGGTTTCGGGGGTCACCGCACGGTCTGTCACCGCACTGTGATGGGACCCCCCAGGGCGCACCCGTGTGGCAGCTTCCCTCCCCTTCTCTTCCTCCCCCATTTTTGCAGCATCAGTCACTGGTGTAATCCAACGAGGAATATAGGAATGTATTGAATAAGGCTCCATGCATGATAACACCGGAACTGACACATTATTACATAGAGAGGCCGTGTCGTGGCGCGGCACCCGTGTCCTGGCGAGCCGGCGGACACGGATGGCGTTGCCCCGCTTTCCCCCTTTTCTGCCCTGGATGCATCGCAGCGGCGAGCCCGTGGGGGGAAGCGAGGCGGGGCAGGCCTCCTCTCTCAGAGGGAGGCGGGGCGCCTCGGAGGCCCTCGCGCCTCCGGAGAGGGGAGTATGAGCTCTTCTGCCGAGGACGGGCGGCTGCTCAGCAGGGCCCAGGGGGCTTCTGAGAAGCCTGGCCTCCCGATAATCAGGAGGATAAAAACACACACAGACACAAGTAATCGTCGATCCCCCGGAGAGTATGGGAACCTATGGGAAGTGGGGGGGAAGACGAAGACCCCGAACATGTGGGAAACATAGAAGGGGAATCCTGTGATTTGTGTCTATTTGTTTGTGTGTCCTGGGGCCCCTTCAGAAAAGGCTTGTCCCCTCTCAACTTCCCCCCCCTCGGCTCGCCGCCGCTGCATCCTGGCCTGCTCGCCCCCCGTCCCTGCGGGCTTGCCGTGCACAGCGGCGCCCGGTGCCTGGGGGCCGCGCAGGCCTCCTGTGCAGCAGCGCGGCGGGCCCGTCCGCCACGGGCCTTCGCTCGCTGGGCGGAGGGGGGGAGAGGGCATCCCGCTGGTGGTTGCTGAGGCCTGGCAGCGCTCTTGCTGACTACAGTTCAGTCGGGCCTGTCCTTCTACAGGGGGACTGTTCAAAAATAATGAAAGATTGGTCTGGGGACGGTTTTTTGAGTATTTGTGGGCATCTTTGGGGCATTTTCCGGATGGCGCCACCCCAGCATACTAATACTATATGTGCGTCGCCCCCCCAGGGGCGACGCGCGCACCGAGAAATCTTGTAGTACGTGCGTCGTGGCGGGCGCTTTCTGGCCACGCCGCTCGGGAAACGATATACGACAAGATGGGTATACTATATGTTCGGATCGGACGCGCGCCTCCAAGAAGGGCACATAGTACTAGTATGTCTCTGTAAGTCGAATTCGGCTGGTGGTTGCTGAGGCCTTGCAGCGCTCCTGCCCATTACAGTCAACAGACATCATAGGGATGAGCACCCTTTCCACGGGTACCCTTGCATCCTTGCCTCCTCGGTCCATCCTTGGCCATTCTCGTTGGCCGCGCCCCGCTCGAAGAGCTTCGAATGGGCGTCCAAGGCCCCTGCATCATGTCCTTATGATGCGGGCCGACTGTAGAGCATCTGAAGCGTGTGCGGAGCTACACTGTCAATGCCACGCTTTCCTGCGGCTTGAGAGGTCCGTGTAACAAATGAGAGAGATGCCAGGCGCCTCGGCGGCGCATCCGCAGAAAGGACGCCGTGCATACGTGCACTGGCAGCAAGGTGGTGAAAGAAGTATCGGCTGCAAACCTCTGCCGGCTGCGCTGCTGTGCAACGTCGGGGAGTCAGGCAGAACCGATGGTGCATCTTTCGCGGTGGTGCCGCTGCTCGCTGTGCAAGTGACCGCTGCGTGGCTTGCTGTGCAGCTGGCCGTGGATGGAGTGCTGAACTGAAACACGTTTTCCCGTCCCTCGGCTTACGATGTTCCAACCGACTTTAGCCTTGACCACCAGAACGAATTCCGAGCACCAAAGAAGTACCGAAATTCGAAGGGAGACACTCGTCCGACACCGTTTCGACACTGCTTCGGCATTCCGGGTGCTCGACAGTATGTCTGGAAAGTGGTCCCTAAGTACAAGAGGGGAGCAACATAATTCAGGAGGGGGAGTAACACAGACACACTGAGTCGTCGATTCCCAAGAAAATATTGAACAAATAGGAGATATGTGAAAATATGGGGAAGACACAGACCCAGAAAATATATGGGAGAATATCGGGAATCCTGTTATATTTGTGTGTGTATTTCTTTGCGTGTCCCAGGGCCCCTTCGATGACCCGGAACATGTGGGAGAATATGGGGGATCCAGTGTTTTTTTTTGTGTGTGTGTGCACTTATTTACCTGTGTGCCCCAGGGCCCCTTCGAGAGCCCTCGGCGAGAGGAGACCCTGACGCTGATCCTCGAGCACCACATCCTGGCCGCCGCGCCCGGGTTCCTGGTGGCGGCCGGCAGGACCCGGGGGCTGGAGGGGCCGCGGGCGGGACGGCGGCCCGGGGGGGGGCCTCGTCTCCCCAAGGGCTTGACGACTTTTCGCCAGTCGACTTGTGGGGATCGCTCCAGAGAAATCCATGCAAATAATTACAGATGAATCGAGGTAAGCCCAGGTGAGTCGAGATAAAGCTGGGTAGATCCATAGAAGATCCAGAGATCTCCAGGGAATGTTGGAGCAACTCGCGGCCGCTCCAGCGCGAGTCGAAGGACGGCAGAAGTCGCCAAGCCTTTAACGATATTCGACGGGCCTGGGAGGCGTCTGCGAGGGCGGAGGGGTCGGGGAGGGCTGCCTCGCACGGTGGGGGCGTCGGTTAAGGAACGTCCTCCTCCTCCACCTCCTCCTCCTCCTCCTCCTCCTCCTCCTCCCCTCCCTCCTCCTCCTCCTCCTCCTCCTCCTCCTCCTCCTCCTCCTCCTCCTCCTCCTCCTCCTCCTCCTCCTCCTCCCCCTCCTCCGCGGAGGCAACCTTCCCCGGAGGCGTGCCCCGCGGGTGCCATCGCGGATTCCTCGTGCGGCACCTCCCGGAGGGTCGCAGGGTTGAGGCTTCAGGCCCTGCAGGGTTTTTTATCTGATGAGGGCGGCGGCAACAGCCACTGCCCATCCGCGATCGGAGTTCCACCGGCTTCCATGCCCTGGATTCCTTATCCGATGCTTCCTGATCCAGTGCTCCCACCGCAGTTGGCTCGAATGCTTAGGAGTCTCTGGCCCATCCCCGCTTCGGGCGCCCAGGCGCCCCCATGAACCCAAGGTGGCCCCACAGGATTCCCATCGAGACGGCCCCAAGGTGGCCCCAGAACGGCCCCGTGTGGCCCATGGCCCCACCGAGAGCCACACGGACGACCGCGCCACGAGCCAAGACCGGCCCGCGGGCCTGAGCCAGGCCCGCAGGCAGTCCAAGGACGATCCTCGGCTCTCGATCCTCGAAAAAGTTTGAGGCCCGGGGTGGTTTCCATCAGCTGCCACGCGACTCGTCGAGGGCGTCCTCCGGGGGGGTGCCGGAGTCGTTCCGAGCGAAGCTCGGAAACCGGAGCATATATATATATATATATATATATATATATACTCTATACCAGTGGCGGGCCGGCTTTCAACCCCAGGACTTCTGGAGGGCCGGGGGCGACGTCGGGGTGGTGTGGTGTGCACTCGCGCTTCTGCGCCTTCCTGGGGGAAGCAGCGAGGGCTACGGCCTCCTCCACCAGGTCTCGAGCAGGCCCTGACAGCTGTCCGCTGTGGTGGTTCGTTCGCTCGTTCGTTCCGCGAGGCATGCATTCGCCAGGATCCCGCACGCGCCAGGAGCCGCGCTCCTGTAGCTGCGCGTGCCGGTGCGGGGCCGGCAGCGGCGTCGGTGCACAGAGCGTGCGGCTCCGCAGACCCCCGACGCCAGGAAGTTTTCGTGACGTCGACCCCCAGCGGCCTGGACCCTTTCCCCGGGACCGGTTCTTCGTCCTGAGTCGTTTTTTGGACGGCCCCGAGGGCCGGCAGGGGCCCCCAGAGGCCAAAAGTCAGGAGAAACTGTCCGTCGCGATTTCTCCATAGCTCGAGGGGGTCTGGGTCCTTGGCAGGCCGGCGGCCCGAGCCCGGCCCCCCGAGGGCCAGGGCGGCGGGGGCATCGCAGGAGCAACGAGCGGGGGGGGGGGGGAAAGGAGGTGGCCCGGGGAGGCAGGCACGGCCCGGTGGCCCCCCCCTGGAGGTCCCGAGGTGTTCGCGTCGCGGGCCCCCCACACGCGCAGGGGGGGATCTGGGGGAGGGTGGGAGGCTTCTCAGAGGCACCCCTGTTCCTTAGAGGGCGCGGGCCTCGTCTACATGTGCAAGGCCGGCGCCTTCGAAGGAGCAGCCCCCTTCTAACAAGCCTTCCCCCCCCTCCCTCATACCCCCGTAGGCGCGCCGCCATCAGCCCACGGGAGCCGCAGGGCGAGGAGTGCAAGACTTCGCCGAGGTGCCTTGTGGTCGGGGCCCGAGTGCGGGGGGGGCGGGGGGGGAGGGTCAGAGGAGAAAAAGGCACCACCTCTTCCTCCTCCTCCTCCTTCTCCTGGCCCTCGTTTTCCCTTTTTGGGGCCTCCTGAGCCTCTGTCGTCGCCACCGCTGGATTCGCCTCGGAATCCTGGTCAGAGCGCACCCCAGGAGAGGTCCGGGGATTAGCGGCATCGGTACCTCTTGATTTCCCCAGAGGGGGGGGAGGGGGCACACCCAAGCATTGAGGCCGGCACCGTCGCATCGCATGCGGCGATCAAAGCTCGGGTGTTCTCACGACTAGAAAAACTGAAACACGACAAGAGAAAATTGAAACACGACAAGGCACGGCTTATTCACGACAAGCATTTTCGGCGCCCACTTTCGGCGCCCACTTTCGGCGCCCACTTTCGGCGCCCACTTTCAGCGCCCACTTTCGCCGCCCACTTTCGCCGCCCACTTTCGCCGCCCACTTTCGCCGCCCACTTTCGCCGCCCACATTCGCCGCCCACTTTCGCCGCCCACTTTCGCCGCCCACTTTCGGCGCCCACTTTCGCCGCCCACTTTCGCCGCCCACTTCGCCGCCCACTTTCGGCGCCCACTTTCGGCGCCCACTTTCGGCGCCCACTTTCGGCGCCGCCCACTTTCGGCCGCCCACTTTCGCCGCCCACTTTCGCCGCCCACTTTCGCCGCCCACTTTCGCCGCCCACTTTCGGCCCCACTTTCGCCGCCCACTTTCGCCGCCCACTTTCGCCCACTTTCGCCGCCCACTTTCGCCGCCCACTTTCGCCGCCCACTTTCGCCGCCCACTTTCGCCGCCCACTTTCGCCGCGCCGCCCACTTTCGCCGCCCACTTTCGCCGCCCACTTTCGCCGCCCACTTTCGCCGCCCACTTTCGCCGCCCACTTTCGCCGCCCACTTTCGCCGCCCACTTTCGCCGCCCACTTTCGCCGCCCACTTTCGCCGCCCACTTTCGCCGCCCACTTTCGCCGCCCAAAGTGGGCGCCGAAAGTGGGCGCCGAAAGTGGGCGCCGAAAGTGGGCACCCAAAGTGGGCGCCGAAAGTGGGCGCCGAAAGTGGGCGCCGAAAGTGGGCGCCGAACGTGGGCGCCGAAAGTGGGCGCCGAAAGTAGGCGCCGAAAGTGGGCGCCGAAAGTGGGCGCCGAAAGTGGGCGCCGAAAGTGGGCGGCGAAAGTGGGCGCCGAAAGTGGGCGCCGAACGTGGGCTTGCTTGTCGTGAATATGACTCTTTCCTTGTCGTGAAGCTGCTTGTCGCGAAACCATCCCGGCCATGCGGCGATCGGCAAGCTGCGCGTCATTGTTGCCCAGGGTCACTCCTGCGAGTAACCGACCGCCGAAGCACAGGAGGTGCGGGAGGAGCAGAAGCAGGAGGAGGATGAGGAGGCGGGCAAACTGCCGCCCGACCTCCAGGCGTGGCCAGACTACAGGTGCAGCATGGTGCAGCATCCTGGGGTCAGCTCCTGTCGAGTCACTGGCGATGGGATCGAACCCCCGTCAGTGGTATATCTCCTCGGATGGAGTCGTCCAGATGAATTGTCCTCTTTCGAAGGCCCTCAGTGGACCCTCCTCCGCAGCCAGGTGTCGAGAAACAAACAAACTACATAGACATGAACTTGTGGAGGGCCGCGCTGATTTCTTGGATCGGCAATGGCGCCCCCTGGGCGGCGCAAGAGGCGCCGCCAGCGGGCTCCAGCGCCGATGCAAGAATTCCGCGCGGGCCTCTCAACGTTCATGGTTCTGCCAATGTTGACTCCTCGAAGGTATGGACGGCAACGTTTGGATAGCGCGCCGCTCCTCTTCGGCGGCGAGCGAAGGGGGGAAGTGAGAAGGGGCGTGCCTTCTCCGAAGTCTCGGAAGTTACGCGGCCTTCTGAGAAGCTCCCTGGGCCTTCGGCCTTCCCCGAGGACAGAAACATTCTCAGAAGTCGCGAGGGCTTCTGAGAAGTACCGCCGCCTTCTGAGCAGGCCTTCTCCTTCCCAGTTCCCCTCCTCGCCCGCCGCCTGCCTTTGGTTCAGGACCACCACGCCTCGGCGCGACACGCTGTCCGCGTCCTGGCCCCCCCGCGCCCGCGCCCAGAGGCTTCCCGAGCTCCCCGCCCTCACGAGGCGGAGCGACACGCCTTCCGCTCGCAGGGCACGGCGTGTCGCAGGGGCCGCTGCGGTCACACGCTGTGCAGACGCTCGCGACCATAAAATTGAGTCGGGCCCGTCCCTCTACAGGGGGAATATGCAAAAAAGAGTCAAACAATAGTTGGGGAACGATTTTTCGCGTATTGTTGGGGCATCTTTTGAGTATGCTTTGAATATGTTGTATTTTTCGTCCAAAATCCCCCTTCGGGGGGACAGGCCCGACCCAACCATAAAAAGTAAGAGCAGCGGGGGGGCGGGGGCTGGAGCACGGGAGCGGGAGAGGGAGGCGCCCCCGCGGGTCGAGGGGCGGCAGAGGAGGGCGGAGGGAAGAGCGAGGAGCAGGGGCTCCATGCTCCTCGCTCGCCTCCTCGCCCGCCTCGCCCGTCTCATCTTACGTCTCATCGCTCCGCCTCCTCGCCCGCCTCGCCCGTCTCCTGTCACATCTCCGAGACGCGAAAGGATATGGGCGAGGCGGGCGAGGGGGGGGGGGAGGAGGTGGGGGGGGGGAGAGGCCGGGGCGAGGAGCCAGGAGGGGCGGAAGGAGGCGTGCCGAGGAGGGCAGGGGAGGGGAGGGCAGGCGCGAAGGGCCGGGAGAGAGGGGGAGGGAGGGGGAGGGCGGGGGGACGGCGGGGGGAGGGGGGAGAGGGGGGGCAGGGGCGGAGAGCCGGGGGCGGCGGAAGGAGAAGGGTGCAGAGGGCAGGGGGGGGCGGGGCCGAGGAGCCACGGGGGCGATGGAAGGAGAGAGGCGAGAAGGGGGGAGGCCAGAGCGAAGGGCCCAGGGGGCATCGGGGCGAGGAGTGGCGAGGAGTGGGGAGGAGCGGGGAGGGATGCTGGTGGACTCCTGGGGCGGGCACGACTTCGAGCCCCAGGGCTGTCCAGGATCGGTGCGGGATGCGCGGCTCTCCAGGATGAGCCTCGGAGGGGTCCAGAGAGTGGTTTTGAGCGGATCTTGGGAGGAGGGCGAGATCGGCGAGTGGAGGGGCAAGAGCAGCCAGAAGCGACGGGTGGAGGAGGAGGTGAGGGAGAAGGGAGGGGCGAGGAGCCATGAGCGAGGAGCGGCGGATGGAGGAGTCCCCGTTGCTACTTTCCTCCTCTTCCTTCCTCCTCCCTCTCATCAGCATCCTCCCTCTCCTCCTCCTCCTCCTCCTCCTCCTCCTCCTCCTCCTCCTCCTCCTCCTCCTCCTCCTCCTCCTCCTCCTCCTCCATTCCTTCTCCTTATGAATAACTTCTCCGTGTCGCACCCCGAGGCCAGTTTTTACGGCGGGCCGGGCGTTTCGCTTGAGACTTCCTCACCGCTTATGACCCTGAAACTTCAAAATAAACAACAGCTTCACAGATGGAGGGCGGGTCGTTTTCACAATGTGGCTCTCGCCTTAGCGCCGCGCACATTCGTTTAACAGTTTGCAAGAGCCTCAAGGATTGAGGGCGGGTGGTTTTCAAAATGTGGTTCTCGCCTTAGCGCCGCACACATTCGTTTTAACATTTGCGAGAGCTCCACGGATTGAGGGCGGGTCGTTTTCACAATGTGGCTCTCGCCTTAGCGCCGCGCACATTCGTTTAACAGTTTGCAAGAGCCTCAAGGATCGAGGGCGGGTGGTTTTCAAAATGTGGTTCTCGCCTTGGCGCCGCGCCTATCCGTTTTAGAATGTGCAAGAGCTTCACGGATTGAGGGCGGGTGGTTTTCAAAATGTGGTTCTCGCTTCAGCGTCGCGCACATTCTTTTTAAACATTTGCAAGAGCCTCAAGGATTGAGGGCGGGTGGTTTTCAAAATGTGGCTTTCGCTTTAGTGCCGCGCATATCCGTTTTTAAATTTGCAAGAGCTTCACGGATTGAGGGCGGGTGGTTTTCAAAATGTGATTCTCGCCTTAGCGCCGCGCACATTCATTTTAGAAATTAGAAGAGCTTCACGGATCGAGGGCGGCTCCTTTTCAACATGTGGCTCTCGCACTTGCGCCGCGCACACTCTTGTTAAATAGTTGCAAGAGTTTAACGGATTCCCATGATCGACGTGCCAGAAATGATGTTTTGGAAGGACTCACGGTTCTGAGGGCGCAACAGTTCAGATGATTCGCGGAGTTGAGGTCCCAGGAACGGCGTTCCGGCACGATTCGGGATCGTCAAGACGCAACAGTCATGTTCATCCGTGGCATTGGAATACCGAGAATACAGTAATGTGTTGGCATGCTTCACGGTCTTCGAACGATTGTCTTCCAACGAGGCAGGTCCTTCTGTGGAACTGAACCGTTGTAGGGGCCTATGAAGAGGGACTTTGGTTAAGGGTGTATTCCAACACCGTTGGTGACTCTTGGTTTTGCACTGGTCCTCCTCCTCCTCCTCCTCCTCCTCCTCCTCCTCTTCCTCCTCCTCCCCCTCCTCCCCCAATCCTCGTCCACCCACCATTTCCCCCTCCTGTTCATCCTCCTCCTCCTCCTCTTCTTCCTCCTCCTCCTCCTCCTTCTCCTCCTCCTTCTCCTATTCCTCCTCCTCCTCCTCCTCTTCCTCCTCTTCCTCCTCTTCTCCTTCCCCCTGAACCCCTCCTTCCACTCTCCTCTTCGATCCCCTACTCTTTCCTCCCTGCTTCCATCGCCCCTCCATGCTTTACAGTAGGCACTTCAACTGCGAAATCGGCTTGCCAGCAGCCGCCCCACGGAAATGCAATATCCCCCGAATGCCCAAAGGGACCCAGTGATGATATGTGGCATTTCAGGGCATTCACAGATCGACGAAGAATGTGCCCCCATATTCCTTATGACAGAGGTTTCTTGTTGTGTGTGTGCCGATTGTACGCAAAGGCTTTGTTTCGCCAACGGCCCTCGGCGGCCCGGCCAGAGGACACTCCTGATCGCCGCGCGGGAGCACCGCACGAGAGCAGGGCCTTGGTCCATGCTCGCCCTGAGCGCGGGCCACCTCCGCTCGGGCAACGTGGACGCGGCCAGTCGCTATTGCCGCCGTCCTCGTCTTCCAACTCTTCCTCTTCCTCCTTATCCACCTCCTCCTCCTCCTCCTCCTCCTCGTGCTCCTCCTCTGCCTCTTCCTCCTCCGAAGCCACTTTGCTCAGGGCGAATTCATCCCCGAGGGACGAAGGGGATTCCCTTAGTCCGTGGCCATCACCCTTCCATGTACACCCCGTTGGGGACTCGGTCGACCACGCTGCCTGCGCAGTGGCCGACACCTTCACCAGAGCCGCAGCCAAGAAAGTTGTGCACCGCACGAAAAAGAAACCTGTGGACGGCGACCCTGCTACTGGCTCTGCTTTTGGTGCTGTTGAAGACGAAGTCAGGTCCCGGTCTGGTAGAGGCGCAGGCAGCGAAGGGGATGGACCCGGGGACCTCGCGCAGGAAAGCTACGACGACCACGTCCAGGAGCTCGTGCGCATTGAGATCCGCGAGTCTTTCTGCCGGGTCAGGCTGGAGTGCGAGAAAGCCTTCGCCAACACCGCAGCCGCCGCCGCCGAAGCGGCCGTAGCCCCCGTATGCGAGGCGCTGCGATGGTTCACGGACTCCAAGAAAGCAGCCCCTGGAGAAGCCCCTGCAGCAGCCACAGCCCGCCTCAAGCCCGAGCCTCAAGCCAGATCCGCACCGAAATCCAGGGCAAGCGCGCCCTGGCAAGCCTCCGCGAGACGCTCCCTGAAGGCAAGTTGTTTTGCGGCCGCAGCAACGGCTGGGTCCCGGAAAGATGGGCGCCGCTTCTCCGACTCCAGCACGCACCAGAGCGCGAGTCCACCACCGTGTCCTGGAACCCCTAGGGCGCGGAGGAGAACGGCCGCAAGCGCGCACCTCCGCGATCTCACCCACCACATTGTCTCCAGATGTGCAAGCTGAGTGGAGCCTTCTGACAGACTCCTCCAGCTACAACACGACGTGTATCTGGGGTCTGCCGCGCCGACAACGCCCGGGGGGGAAAACAAACAAAAAAAAAAAACAAAAAAAAAACAAAAAAAAAAGGCTTCGCGACATGGAACGCTCGTGCTCTTCTCTGCTGGAAGGGGCGGCATGGCATTCGAGAAGGTGGACTACCTACGGCATCGCGACATCCCTCACGCCTGCAACGCGATGCAGGAGGCCCACCAGACAGAGCAAGCAGCAAGTGGAAGCGCTCATGAGAACAGCCGCACCACGCTCTAAGGTCTTCTGCTCCTTCTACGACCATGCGGACGGGCGCCAGAAGGTCGGGGTGGCCACCATCGCGCCGCTATCGGGCGCGGCTGCCAGCGCGGCAAGGACAATCGCGCATGCCAAAGGCGCGCGCCGAAGGTCATCGCCAAGACAGCGGACATCCGGCTCCGCCACTACAACATCCACAACCATGGCATCTCCCTGTGCCAGATAAAGGTCACCATGGAGGCTCTGTCAACTGACGCGGCTTTGGCGCAAGCAGCTCCGGGCAAGAGATGACTCATCGTTGCGGGCGACGTGAATTTCGCGGCCTTCACCCACCTGGACTCACGCCAACCAGCCCGCCAGCCCCCACGCCAAAAGCACAGCGCCAGCCAGTGACGCACCGCCCGTTGGAAGCACATTCTCGACAAGCTCGTCGAGCTCGCCGCGGGCGACCCAGACCATTTCTGCAAGGGCGCGGGCAACCTCTCCAGCCTGGCCCGAATCTGAACGGCGACGCCCGCGTGGATGATCAACCAGCTGCGCATCAAGGGGTCCGCGGCGAACACTCCCGAGCAACTCCGCGACAAAGGCATCCCCGACCACGCGGCCCTCACGATCGCCCTCCAGCCCCGAGCCGCACGACCCCCTGCCGATTTGAACTTCCCCGCCCAGATGTGCGGCAGGGCGAACTACGCCACGGCGTTGGAGAAGCTGGTCTAGCACGAAGAAAAGTCGCCCGTTGAGACGGTTCCCCGCTCGAGCTCTTGCGGCTGAAAGGAGCCGGCGGTAGCTGCAGCGGCACTCGTCATGAAGAAAATGCCCGCGGCCGGGGCTGGCGATCGGTCTCCTAGTCCGTCCTGATCCGACAGGCAGCGCGCACAGCCTTGCGCAACAGCTGCAGGCTCGCCCGGCGCACCGTCGACCCCTCACCTGAGGCCGCCTCGCGCGCGGCCGTCGCCTGCTGAGAAGTAACCACCGCGCGCCCAAAGCTGTTCCAGAGCTGGACGAAGAGGGCCCACTTGCACGCGGCGGAGTAGGAAATCGCCGCGACCCAGGCGGGGGCCGCCAAGGCCCGCAGGAAGAAAGGCCTTGAAGGCCGAATGGCCGCTGCCGAACCACCCGCCCAGCTCTGGGCACCCCTTGGCAAGGGGGCGGCACTGCGCGGCGCTATGGAAGGAGAACAATTACACTTGCACCAGCACGGCCAATTTCTTGCCCTCACGCGCAACTGGGCCTCGATCTCCACCGAGATCGCCATCGACCCTGACGCAGCGCAGCGCGCGGCTACATGCGCCAGCCCCCAGGCCCCAGTGTCGACCTGGACCCGCCCCCGCCCAGCGCCGACGACGCAGCCAGGACAGTCCGCCGCGTGGCCGCGGTCCGCTCGGCAACAGAGGTCGACGGCAGACCTTACTGCGCTCGGGCATCCATTCCGCCCTTCTCCGAAGTGTTTTGGGAAATCCGCGCTCTGGCTGACGAGCGGATAGCGGCCCCTCCGCTGCGCGGGAGACACGAAGCAGGCCTTTCTGCCCGAAGGCGCGCGCGCCGACGACCACCCCGACGAAGGTGCCATACGGGGCCCCAACGAGGTCCGCACGCTCGGCCCCCGCAACACCGACGCGAAGCTCATCGCAGCGACGCTCGAATCGGCCATCTGCCCACCCGTCAAATCCCGCCCCCCGCCTGCACAGAGGGGCCCCGCGCCGGGCAGACGCTTCACCGACAACGTCTTGGAACTAGACGTGGAGGCCCGCATGGCCAACCTCTTGCCTGGCACCCACGACCGGCATCCTCTCCGAATCGCTCTGGCTTTCGGCCGAGCGTTCCCGAGCCTCTCTCAAGAATCTATCATGCTTGTCCTGGCGGAGTTGGCGGTGCCCTCGGCGGCCCTGGCGGCGGCGCGCTAGTTGAAATCTTTTGCCGCAGCGATCGCGGCAGCCGCGGCGTCGCCCACGGCTGCGCGCTCTCCGGCGCGCCGTGCGCCCTCGCCACCACCCCCATCATCGCCTCCAATGAGGCCACGCTGTAAGCGGCCGCGCCGGGCGTGTTCAGAGCGCGCGCGGACGACGTCGGCGGCGCCTCGCACTCCCGCAGCAGCCCCCCAAAGCCTGCCAGCGCAATGAACCTGGCAGTCCCGCGCGCGAGCCCGCACCTGAAGGCGGCGACCCTGCGCCCTGGGCTTCTGGCCGGGGCCCTTCGCCGATCTTGCTCTCAACTGGAAAGTCCCCCGGCGCAAGTTCAAGCATCGTGTCGCAGCGCTGGCTACGGAGCATCACACATGAGCACTAACGCCTGGCTCTACAACACCCGCGCGATCTCGACGCTCAGCCACGTAGCTCAGCTGACGCCCCTCCCCGCGCGCTTGGCCTCCGAGGACGCCCACCTGCTGGCCGGAAATATGCGGGCGCGCCGCTGGCGCCTTCCGCCCAGTAAACTATTGACTCCTGCACGAATGGGGGGCGAGGGCTCCCATCTGCACGGCGCGTGGCCCAGGCCACTCTCATCCGATCGGTGATGATTACCCAAACGCTGGCGTCGGAGTTCCAGCGCCGTCTCTTGGTTGCTGCCAATAGATGGGTCAACGATCGGGGGCCAGCCGAGCTATCGTCTTCCCCTGGCCTTGTCTTTCTGGAGCACATCCGCCTTCACGACAGAGCTCGACGAGATCGAGAAGGGCATCCTCAACCACGAGCCGCACGCGGACGCCGCGCATGCCGCGCAGCGACTGCCCATGTGACAGGCGATCACCATCCCGCTCTTCACCCAGGGCAGGACGAAGTGGTTCCCCTACCGCAGCGCGGGGATTCGTCGCGCGCCATAGTGGCGCGCGCAGCTGCTGCTTCCCACGACGCCCCCCGCCTGGTCGCGCGCGCTCTTACGATCGCTGGCTGGGGGCTGGCTCGCCTCACGTCAGATCCTCTATCCCAGCGGCGAGCGCACGAGCATCTTCGGCTGTGAACACGAAGTTGATGACACACTTCACTTACTCTCATGCCGCAGGCTCATGCACGGGCTGGCAATGGCACGACCTGGCGGACGGATCTCTCTGGACAGCAACCCTCTGCGGAGATGGGGCATCGCCGACCCCGCGAGGGCAGCTTTGACCTTGCCCTGCGCGCACACTTGACTTACAATATCCTGCGATCCAGAGACGGGGCCCCCACCCCTGAGCTCCAGGAAGCGGCTGAAGGGGCGCTAAAGTTCAAGGCTCTCTCGGTTCCTACGCGCAGATCGAGAGCCCGACCTACGTCAGCGATCACGGCCACGGCGCGGCGATGGGGCGGGGACCAGCGCCTCTCGAACGCCGACACCACTGTCGAAGTCCATAACATTTTCGAGGCGCACCTCGCACGCCGCCCACCACAATCGAGCAGCACATCAAGCAGCACCAGCTCCTCAACCACATCCCCAAGCTCTCCTGACAGCGGCGTCTCTGGCATCGCGGAATGTTTCGAAGCCCTGCCCCCCGCTGCCAGCCCTCTCGCACGCCGCATCTCGCAAAGACGACACAAGCAAGCTCGACGACGACGACGACCTGCTGTCCGATGATTATTTCTCGGCTCTTCGCCGGCGCCGACGGCGCGGGATGGCGCGGTGGTGGCTTCGCATCTTCGCAGGGCTCCCCAAGGCGACCCGCCCCCGACGGCCACTGCGGCCGCCAGTTCGTCACGAGCAACTGCGACGTGAACTTGCCGATCGGGTGGCGAGCTGGGCCCGGAACTGGTTGCCCTCGCTGCGCGTGCCCGCCAGCGGGTCGGACTTCCAGCAGCGGCAGAACTGGCGCATCCCATGAGCCATGGACATCCTGACATCCTGCGCCATTAGGGATTC